TATTCAGCATCTCGACAAACGGTCCCCGCGGGAAGGGCGAGCGGTGGACAACCTGCTCGTGAGGCCGCAAGGCCCCGAAGCTGTGCAAGACGCCTTCATGTGCAGAGTTGGCAATCTCCACCGCCATGTTGTCGCCCATCGCTAGAGCATTGAGGCAAGGCGCGACGTCCACACCTTCGAGCTCGGGGCGCCAGGCTCGAAAGGCCTTGAAGCGGGATGATGGCAGACGAACGCGAAGGGCGTTACGCCTGGCGCGCGCGGGAGGAACGCGGAAAGTGTAGTAAAACTCCCGTAGGTCGTCGCAAGAAACTGCCAGCCACTCCCCAGGCGCCAGACCCAAACGGCACAGCAGGAAACCCTGGCCAAGGCGCTGGGTGCTGGACGAGATTGAGGCACAGCGGCTGTTCACGACCGTTGGGTTCAGGATCAGCCTGTCGAAGTCGCTGTCCTTCGGTACCCTGAAAGCTCCGCAGGCTTCATCCCAGGCGAGGTCCGAAGCAGGAGTCAGGTACAGGGCGCCGCAGGCATCCCACTTCTGGAGTAGGGCCCACAGCTCGGCGCGGTCCATATGGACACGCGCCCCCTTTTGGCCAGCAGGCCACTCTGACGCCGGGAGCCGCATCTCCTCTGGATTGATGAACGCTTCGCGGACTCGAGCGTCAGAGAGAAACGGAATGGGATCAAACTCTGGCGAGTAATCCCACTTAATGCGAGACGCCCTGACTTTTAAATCGAAGGGCTCGACCTGGGTGGAGTCCCAAGCCGCCGCAGACGCCAGCGAACCAGGCACGGAAGGAGCGCTGGTCGGGCAGTGCCGCATGGGGGCGGGCACGGAAGAAGAGGAGGTGAAGGAGGCCTCCAAAGCTGCAACATGGGTGGCCAGGCCATGGAGCGAGACCTCAGTAGAGTCGAACTTGGCGAAGGCTCGACCTAAGTCGCTCTTGCCGCCACGGGCAAGGCGAACTGCGATCCGACGCAACCGTTCGATACGGGTGCGGACGCCCTCCTGGCAGGGCGAGACCGTGGCGCGGACGCGAGCCTCGGCGGGAGCGAGGCTAGGATGACCCAAAGTGAGCCAGTTCAACGCAATAACAGAATACTGCGCGAGCGTCCGCGCCGCGCGCCGCAATCTCCAGCGCTCCCTGCGCCTCGCCGACAAGCCGTCAGGCGGGGGACCAAGAGGTGGAGCAGGCGGGCACGGCCAAGGATCGCGGGGAGGCGGCCCCAAAAGGCACGGGTCGTCCCTGTCCATTGCACGCATTGATGAGCGGGAGAAAGATCCAAGAGAACATCGAGCACCCATCCCAACCTGGGACAGCGCTGCCGCCCAGTGGGTGATATCAATGTTCGCGCCTGGAAACAGGCGCAGCAAGGCAGACAAGTCAGCGACAAATGGCGCGACGTTGGCAAGAGCAGCAGGGGTGCTTGAAGGAGAACAAGCACCAGCAAGAACACCAACCTCAGGGGCTGCAGGCCCCATGGGGGGAGCGCTCGACTGAGGCAGGTGACGGCCAAAATGGCCGAATGGATCCGAGGGGCGGTTCGGAGCAGAGCGAGGGGCGTGGTGGCGGAACGTACTCCTCCCTGCGGGGCCGCAACAGCATCGCTGGAGGAGCGCATTCCTACCCTCACGCCCTCGCTGCGCCCAAACACGCCTAGCAGCCGTAGCAGCGTCGGTGCAGACTGTCTGCGGCGGCGTACCCCGGCCACGCGAAGGCCCCCCCTCCAAGAAGGCGGGCGCCAAGGGCATCTTCAGTCCTTCTTGGGCACCGCCTTCGGGGCCTTGGGAGCACCCTGAGACTTGAAGGGGGGCTTTGAGACCTTGGGCTGCTTGGGCTGATGAGGTGGATGCTTGGGGAGCGCGACGGCGCGCTCGGCGTCGAGGCGCGCCCGAAATGCTTGCAGCTCCTTCATGTATTCGCCCTGCGCCGACAGCCAGCGAGGATCCACTAGGGGTGAAAACGGGGTCTGGGCCTCGCGCTCCGTGTGACGACTGGTCACGCGACACGGGGGAGGCTCCAGCCCCGTGAGGAACCAAGCGGCCTCGAGGTAGCCGCGGTCCCCCGCCAACTGGTCGATGAACATGCACTGGCAAGTCAGCAAGGTCTGGACCCTCTCGGGGTTGCCCTCCTCGCAGGCCCGCCACAGCTCGGCGCTGAGGAAGGCAAAATGCGTCAACAACTCGTGCGTCGACGGCTGAGCCCCGAGGGGGCTGTGCTCGCGAAAGTACTGATGCATGGCCATGGGGGTCACGGCGCTGACTTCCACGCCCAGAACGCGGGCCAAATTCTCCTTCATCAGTCCTCGCACGTCGGGGCCGTGCTGCATCAGCGCTTGCTGCCACTCGCGCCTCCGAGCGATTCCCCCCATCTGAGCCGATGCGTGCGCGGGGTCGCCCGAGGTCGCGGGCGGAGATTGAGCTTGGTCGCTCAGGGTCCCCAGAAGCGGGTGGAAGGCTGGGCGATGGCCCCGCCCCTGCTGCAAGGAAAGGGACTGGTGCAGGCACTGAAGCATGAGGCTGAAGTCCGTCGGATTGGCCGCAAGGGGCGGCTCTAACCCGTCGGCGCCGCCCGCCTCGGCAAAGCCGTCGACCGCAGCGGGATGGGCTAGCCCAGGCGGCGGCGGGGGGCCCATCGGTCCGAAAGCGGACGAAGGGGCCCGAGGGACAGCAAGAGAGCGCGCCTTCTCCCACGCCGAGACCAGCGCGGAGGTGGGTCCCTTGGGGCGCGCGGAGACCCGATGTGGGGCCACGGGCGCGTGGGACAAGACGGCCTCGATCCCCGCAGGATCCAGCCCGAGGCGCGCCGCCTCGTCGCTGAAAAGCTGAGGCACCTCGGGCCGAGCGCTCCGGGCAGCCGGAGCGGGGCCCAGCGGTTCGGGTCCGCCGACCATCGTGGAGGCCGCGTGGGCTGCAAGCAAGGCGCGCATTTCGGCAGCTACCTCGGCGCGGGTCATGGGAGCCCCGTCGTCCAGAGACGCCGCAGGAGCACCAGGAGCAATCGGAGCAGGACCCGCGACCCGTGGCGGCGCGGCGGCGCCAGCGCGCTTGGCGGGCGGGCCGCGCGGCGCTCCAGCGACCGCGGGGGCTCGCGCACTTGGGGCCGCGCGGTCGGCTTCCCCGTCGGCCGCGAACCCCTCGGGCTCCTCCATCTCGTCGGCAGAGTGATAGGGGGTAGCCCGATCGGCCCCTGGGAGAGGCTCTTCCCCTGCGGTAGGCGGGGCGCCGTGCAAACGAGCGTAGCCCTCGCGAAGCACCCGAACCCCCGAAGGATGCGGCCAATAGACGCGGCTGCGCACCTCGGCGAAGGGAACGATGCCTGCGTCGTCGCCGACCTCTAGAGGGCACAGCGACTCGAGCTCGAGCTCGGCAACCTCGATATCTATAACGAGGACGGATGCGGTAGTGGCGAGCGGCCGTGAAGCGGCCCCCTGGAGCTGGACGTCCACTAGCTGGAAGGGGCCTATCATCCCAGCAAAGCCATCCGCCTCGGCAGCCTCGAGCTCCGCTGTAGAGCGAAAGGCGCCAGGCAGGGCCAGCAGGATGCCCCCTTCTCGAGAGGCGAGGGGGATAGCCGCCCAGCTGGTGTCGCCGTCGTCTAGGCGCCATCGTGCGTAGTCGCGCGCCGTGGGCGCAGCGAAAGGGTAGAGCTCGGGCCAAAGGGGCCCTCCGCCAACTGGTGGCAGCTCCGCCATCAGTGGGCGCCGCCGTGGACGCCGCCGCCCGCACGCTGGGCGTCTGCCCGCTCGAGCGCTTGAGGTCGAGGCGGAACCCCGTAGGCCAGCGCTCGCGCCGCACGGCGGTCCTGCTCAGGTGAAGCAGGAACCGCGCCGCGCGGCCAGGCGGAGGGCCAGAGCCTCCGCCACACGTACGGGCCCAGCAGCCCGAGGCAGCAGCCCGCGCAGGCGCTGCAGGCGGCCGTCACCCAGAGGAGGGCGGCGACCGTGCTGAGCAGCCAGGGAGAGACCCCGCCGCTCAGATCCACCGCCAGCCCGAGGCAGACGGTGGGGCAGGTGGAACCCGCCGAAGGGAGAGGGCAGGAGGCCCCCTCACCTTCGGACGAGTCCGCCTGCTGGATGGACCAGGCAGGCGATGGAGGCCCCTGGTCCTGAAGCACAGAGAGGGGGGCAGCCACGAGCCGCTCGTAGAGCGCGGCCCGCAGCCCCCTGAACAAAATCTCCCCAGCGCCCTGGAGAGCCGCTTGTGCGACCGCCTGCATCAGGCGCCCGCACGCGCGGCCGATGGGGGGCACTTGGGCAGAGAAGCTGCGGAGACAGCAGGAGCTTGCTCACAGAGAATAGAAGAGGCAACAAACTTGAAAGCAAAGAAACGCGGGAGTCTCAACTCCACATTGCTACATTGCCCCGTCTGTACCTGGAGCCCTAAGCAGGACGGGGAGGCTGTGCTGGGCGGAAGGCCGCAACGCCGCTCAAAGATGAGCTGCGCACCAAACCTCGCAGGACGGGCCCTGTCCGAAAATTCCGCGCTGCGAATCGTGAGCGCGCCTCGTCTCCGTCGTCGTCGTCGTCGTCGTCGTCGGCATCGCCATGGTCGCGGGGCTTGTTTCCCTTTGCGCAGAGACCACGGACACCAGCTCCTGCTCCCAGGTCGGATTTCTGAGCGATCGGCGGCCCGCCGAGCGCGAGATCGTCCCACACAGAACGACTCTGGGCCACGGGCCACTGGCCGCATTCAACCTGGCACGCCCGCGGCGAGGTCGCCGCCACGTCGACACCACACGACGAGCCTACCGTATCTTCCGTCGTGATCTGTTCACAACGTGGAGCCCTGGAGGTCTCGGCCCGTTCCCCAGGACCAGCAATTCATCCTGAAAGCTTGCTTGGGGGTCTGGGCCCGCTGAGGGGCCCCAGGGCCCGACAATTACAGAAAAACTCCCGTCGTGACACTTCCGCGACGCAAAGAGCTCTGGATAGGCACCATGAGAGGGCACTCAGCACCACGACAGGGCCTCCTGCTAGCAGGCACGAAAACAATCGGCGACCTTGCGCAGGAGGTGCAGCGCGCAGGCCGTCACGGGGCCCACCAGCAGTGGGAAGGGGGACAGGTCGCAGGCGCGCGTCACGAGCGTGGCGTTCTGCATTACCCTGGCCCTGGAGATGATCTGCTGCAGACCTGGTGCAAACTCGGTTCTTTCATCCTTTGATGTGCTGATTTGTTGTGCTTGTGTCCTCCCCCGCATGAGCAGAGGGCTGCCCACGATGCGACGAGGTGGTGGGCGAGGCCACCTCGAAAGAGGATCTACCGTCTGACGGCGCGCGCCCACCGGCAGGGACCGACAAGGGCCCCGGCCCGCACCCGTACACGAGCCGCCGCGCCAGCGAGCCTTCCGATCTCCCACGTCACGTCAAGGCTCGAGGCGGTGCCGAGGTACGACGTATGCACTGTCGGTGTGTGTGTGTGTGTGTCTGTGTGTGTGTGTGTGTGTGTGTGCAAGTGTGTGTGTGTGTGTGTGATTGTGTGTGTGTGTGTGTGTGTGTGTGTGTGTGTGTTCCAGCCAAACAAAATCCACGAACAGTTCAGCAAACAACACAGCGGACTCGACGGTGGGGGAGGGCGAAAAGGGAACCTGGAGCAGAGTAGCATAACATTGCGGCTCTTGGTGCCACCTGCGATGCCCTCGCTGCCACGGCTGGGCGCGACCTGAAATTCCTCTCGCTTCGTGGGGTGCACGTCCGGAGTTCGTACAGTCAAGTCGTGGCCTGCACTTGGAGGCGCGCTGCGCCCAGTGGAGTTCTTGCGATGAGCCACGTGCTGCACCTGGTCCAGACCGTCAGCTGGCCGCTCAGTGCAGTCGTTGTGGGGCCTTTTGGGAGCCTCTTGGGAGACTCTTGGAGGCCTCTTGGGGGCTTCTTGGGGGCTTCTTGGGGGCTTCTTGGGTGCCTCCTGGAGCCTCTTGGGGGTGTCTTGTGCGGTGATGGTGCGCTGTTTTCCCCGTTTCGCCCCATCGGAGGCCGTCTTGGGTGGCTCTCACGGCCGCCTTGGGGCTCTCTTGGGGTCCTCTTTGGCCGTCTTGGGGCTTCTTGGGTTGTTTTGGGGGGTTCATTGGGCCGTCTTGGGGCCCTCTGGAGCCGTCTTTGGGCTCCCGTGGGCGCTTCTGGGGCGGTCTGAGGGAAATGTTGGAAGCTGTTTGGGCCGTCTTGAGCCTCTGACAATCGAAAAAGGCGAGACCGCCCAAATCCTTCAAACACTTTTGGAAAATCATTGATTTGGGCCTCTGGGTGCGTTCTTGGGGGTGCTCTCGGTGCCCTCCTGGGCCGTCTTGGGGAGCTTTCTGGGCTTTCTTGGGTTATTTTGGGCCGTCTTGAGTGCGTTGTTGACCGTCTTGGAGCCACCCCGGGCCATACGGAGACCTTCTTGGAGTCCCAAAGAGACCCAAAAAACCGAAATTGTTCTATATATATATATAGAGAGAGAGAGAGAGAGAGAGAGAGAGAGAGAGCACCAGAATTGGGGCCGTCACTTTGGTACGGCGTGATGGCGCGACTCCAAAGGGGGTTCGAGGGGGAGACATCATAATGTAAAACAGTACAAGATGTAGCAATTTTGAATCATTAGATCCATTGGATCCGTTGGATACGCTGCATTTTCGGGGCCCCCTTGGGTGTTTCTTAGGCCTTCTTGGGGCCATCTTGGAGGCTGCTTGGGCCGTCATGGGCTTCTGAGAAGCGGAGAAGGCGAGAACGCTAAAATCTGTTTAAAACCATAGGAAAATCCATGATTTTGGCCTCTGGAGGCGCTCTTGTGGGCGCTCTTGGGGCCCCCTTGGGGGCTTTGGGGGCCTTCTTGGGGCCATCTCGGGCCGTCTTGGGGCAGTCGCTGTGTGGCCTTTGGGGGGCTTCTTTGGAGCCTTTGGGAGGCTTCTTGAAGACATCTTGGAGGCCTCTTGGGGGCTTTTTGGGGCCCCTTGGGGGCCTCTTGGGGGCCTCTTGGGGCCTCTTGGGGGCGCCTTTGGCGGTTTTGGGGAGCTTTTGCGCCGTTTCGCTCCTTCGGAAACCGTCTTGGGGACCTCTCGCGGCCGCCTTGGGGCCGTCTTGGGGTCCTCTTGGGCCCTCATAGGGGCCTTTTGGATCGTTTTGGGGGCCTCTTTGGGCCGTCTTGGGGTTCTGTTGGGCCGTCTCGGGGCCCTCTTGGGGGCTTCTTGGGTTGTGCTGGAGTTATTTGCGAAGCTGCTTGGGCCGCAAAGGCGAGAACGTTAAAATAGTGCCCAAATCATCAATGATTTCGGCCCCTGGAAGCGCAATTGTGGGCGCTCTTGGGGCCCTCTTGGGCCGTCATTTAAGTTTTTCGGGCCCTCTTGGAACCATCTCGGACCGTCTCGGGGCCGCTTTGGCCCGCACAGGGCCCATCTTGAACCGTCTTGGCGCCCTCTCGGCGCCCCAAGAGGCCCAAGAGGTCGGAATCATCGATTTTCTATCAGTTTTGGTAAGTTTCTGAGCCCCGGAGGGGGGGTGGGGGGGGGCACTTTGTTCCGGCGGTGTGGCGCAGCCCCCAGGGGGGGTTAGGGGGGGAGACATAATAATGTAACACGATACAACATGTGACAAGTATGCAATCATTGGATAAATTGGATACGTTGCAGTAAGGCGTTCGCCCGAAAACGCTGCCGCTCAGCACGTCACCTCCGGACGTGGAATCTTGGGAGCCGCGCCGCAGCGCCGTACCAAAATGGTCGCCCCTCCTTCTGGGGCCCCAAACCTACAAAAACCGATTGACAAATCAACAATTTCAGCCTCTTGGGCCTCTGGGGACTCCAAGAGGGCCTCAAGATGGCCCCAAGACGGCCCAAGATATTCCCAACGGGGGCCCATGAGGCCTCCAAGACGGCCTCAAGAGGGCCCCAAAAACCCCAAGGACGGCCCAAGAGGGCCCCAAGAGCGCCCACAACTGTGCCTCCAGAGGCTGAAATCATTGATGTTCCTATGGTTTTTGCAATATGTTAGCGTTTTCGCCTTTTCCGACTCTCAAAAATCCATGACGGCCCAAGCAGCTTCCAGAATCGCCCCAAAACTTTTTTTTTTTTTTTTTTTTTTTTTTTTTATATAAAAAAAAAAAAAAAAAAAAAAAAAAAAAAAAAAAAAAAAAAAAAAAAAAAAAAAAAAAAAAAAAAAAAAGGGGCCCCAAGACATCCCAAGAGGGCCCCAAAACGGCCCAAAGACGCCCCCAAGACGGTCCAAGAGGCCGCGAAGACGGCCCAAGAGGACCCCAAGGGGGCTCCAATGCGGCTGCGAGAGGCCCCCAAGACAGCCTCCGAGGGGGCGAAACGGCGCAAAAGCGCCCCCCCAAGACGGCCCAAGACGCCCCCAAGAGGCCCCAAGAGGCCCCCAAGAAACCTCCAAGAAGCCCCCCCAGAAGCCTCCAAAAGGCACCCAAAAAGCCCCCCAAAGGCCACACAACGACTGGAGTGTAATGCTATTCTTCCCCCTCTGGGCGAACTGCGGCGCAGCGCCAGCCAGGTGGAAGTTGGTCACTGCGGCGCCCATGATCAGAGCCGGCGCTGGAAGGGAAGATGGGGAGGGTGTACGAAAAGGAGGGAGGGGGGAAAGACCCCAAAGAAGTCCCCAAGAGGCCAAAATACTCCAGGAGGCCCCCAAGAGGCTCCCAAGAGGCCCCGCGACGACGTGACTGTACGTGCTCCGGACGTGCACCCCGCGAAGCGAGAGGAATCTTCGAAGCTTTTTCTTGCCGTCTTGAAGCAATTTTCGGGTTTCTTCGGCCCTGCCAGGCCGCTCTGGAGGTTTTTGGTGGCCTCCAGGTCAACTTTGACTGGGGGGGGGGCGAGGCCCAGGAGGCCCCAGAATGGGTCAATCATGTCGTGGGCCACATGGGGGGAAGCATCCCAGAAGGTGTCCCCGCCCAGGGCCCCTGCCCCCTGGTACCCTGGCATGTTGGTTTGTTCATTCATCTGCTTATTTACGGATGTATGTATTCACGTCGGACTAATGTCGGAGCACGGCCGCGCAAACGTCGACCCCTATCTTGCGGGGCAGACGTGTGCAGTAGATGATGCAGCTATTGCGCGCCGCGCGAGGCCACCTGTTCTTTCCTCATAGGGAGGGGCTCGCACTATTCTGCACCAGGCCTGGCATCCTGGCGTCGTACTTCTATTCGCGCCTGGCGATGTCGCCCTATCTCGGGCCCCAAGGCCACCTCATATCGAAGCGGTTCGGAACATGCTTCAGAAAGATGGGGTCCATTGCTCCAGGGCTAGGAGTATACACCAAGCTCAGGGGGGGGGAAGGTACTGATGCCGCTGCCCTTGTCTCGCTTTCGCCTCTACCACGGTTGGGTTCGCATCGAAATCCTGGTCACAACGCACCGCAGAAGCGGTTTCGGTCCTCATGGTGACGCCCGAGCTGGCGAGGCGCGCGCGCCCGCGCCCCGAGCCCTCTGGGGGCTTCCTGGCCTGCCGGGCTGGATTGAAGCCCCTCTTGGGCCTCTTGGAAGCCTTCTTGGAGCCTCTCTCGGGCCTCCTGGGCGCCTCTGGGGAGCTTCCGGGCGGACCCGGGGGTCGTATTGGGGCGGAGGGCTCGAAATCTCAGCTCGGGCTCCCCGTCGTGAACCTTTCTTGGGGCTCTCCTGGAGCCCTCCTGGGCTGTCTTGGGGGCCTCTTGGGCGGTCTTAGGGCCATCTTGGGCTGTCTTCAGCCGTCGTGGGACCTCCTTGGGGCCCTCTGGGGCTGTCCCAGGGCAGCTTTGGGGGTCCATTGGGCTCTCTTCGACGCTGTGAAGACTGAAGCAGTGAGCGTGGTGAAAATGCACGTTCCCCCTAAACAAGAACTGGACGATTCTTGGCCTCGCGTGGCTGTCTTGAGGTGCCTCCTGGGGCTCCCGTGGCGTCTCGTGGGCCGTCGGGATGTCACGTGCGGCCGTCTTGGAGCGCTCTTGGGGCAGGCTGGGGGGCGCAGCCTCCCGGGTGCCCGGAGGCTATCTTGGACGCAATGGGAGCGATCTTGAGCTGTCTCGAGGCCTCGGAGGGCGGCCCGGAGAGCGCCCAGGGGCGGGGGGGGGCCGTCGTACAAGAGAGGGGACCGGCCCGTGGCCCCAGAGCCGGGATCTCCCATCTGTGTATATCTTGTGGCGGGGAACGGCGCCAGTAACTCGGTCGTCGCAATT